CTGGACCTCAACCTGGGACCTGCCCAGCTCAGTGTGCACCGCTGGACCTCAACGGCCAGATAGAATGCCAGAAGATATGCCAGATGGAATGTCAGATAGAATGCCAGAAGATATGCCAGATAAAATGCCATGTGATATGCCAGATAGAATGCCAGAAGGTATGCCAGATAGAATGCCAGAAGGTATGCCAGATAGAATGCCAGAAGAAATGCCAGATAGAATGCCAGAAGGTATGCCAGATAAAATGTCAGATAGAATGCCACAAGATATGCCAGATAGAATCCCAGAAGATTTGCCAGATAATATGCCAGATAGAATGCCAGAAGATATGCCAGATAAAATGCCATGAGATATGCCAGATAGAATGCCAGAAGATATGCCAGAAGATATGCCAGAACATATGCCAGGACATATGCCAGAAGATATGCCAGATAGAATGCCAGATAGAATGCCAGAAGATATGTCAGAATATATGCCAGAAGATATGCCAGATAGAATGCCAGAAGATATGCCAGGACATATGCCAGAAGATATGCCAGATAGAATGCCAGATAGAATGCCAGAAGATATGTCAGAATATATGCCAGAAGATATGCCAGATAGAATGCCAGAAGATATGCCAGACATATGCCAGAAGATATGCCAGATAGAATGCCAGAAGATTTGCCAGATAGAATGCCAGAAGATATGCCAGAAGATATGTCAGATAGAATGCCAGAAGATTTGCCAGTAAGAAAATGTATAAATGTCATGGTGGGGATCACACGAAGTAAAGTAAGTCAGCTGTAGATAGCAGCCCTTAAGCCTTATCAAGTGCCAAACTGCAGGCTTTTGGTTTGAGAACTGGTTGGAAGAGCAAGCGGATCTGCCACATGTGCAGCAGCAAGGTCACTTGGTCATCACGGGCAGGTCGTTTCCATGCACATACCGACCTCAATGTTGCAATGTTTCCAGTGATCCAGCATATTTCGTATGGTTGATACTGCAGATGGAAGAAATCCTGCACCAGCTTCGATACAAATAATGGGATATTATAATGGGATAAGCAATGGGCCATCTACCAACTAGTGCAGGATTTCTTCCATCCACAATACCTGTCATGATATATGGTATTAAATGGTGGTGGTTGTTTTTGAAATTAGACCATTTGTATTCCGGGTTATTGATCATTACGTCAGGATTGGTGGAATCAAAAGGCAGATGCGCCGTGGAAACTGGAACGGCCTGGGGCCTCACCTTTCAAAAGTCGTGATTGCCCTTTCTTTGATCTACCTCATGGTGATGATCCAACAAAAATCTTTACTGATGTGGCCCACACTTTCCATATCCATGGGGTTGGTGTGGACTTTGCAGCATCATCAGTGGTGCTTTGCTGTCGGAAGGGATTGTTTGGCACTGGCAAGTTGGATGCGTGCATCTATCGAGCCTACTGTGCATATATTGAGTACTGTGCGAAGTTCAAGAAAACAACGGCATGTAAACCTTGGAACGGGCATGACGACTTGGGAATGGCGAACAACAATGATTTTCCAAGTTCTATCAAAGGCAAGGGCTTCGATACGGCGTTGGTGTGTTCATGGGTCTCTGTTTTCTTGGAGTCTCAGGACAAGGGTTGCCAAAATTCATAGGACGGGCCTAGAGTTTCAAAAGTTATATTCCCTATAATGCACAAAACGGATTTTTGGGCATCAGAGTTGTTGGCCTCAGGATGTTGCTCACGATCCTGATTTACAGATGCTCAAGTTCACCGCGTCTCAAATCAACAATTTCTTTCGCCTTATGCACAGGTCAGGTTTTTGGATCGACCATCAAACGCGCCAAGAGGTGGTGCGATATGGAGAGTTGTGGGTGGAAGGGTACGCCAATTTGGCAGCCCGCATGGCTTCTCAAGGGCTTCTGCTGTATAGGGTACGGCCTAAATTGCACATGTTTGGGGAACTGGTGCTGAGCCTATACCAGGGAACAACTGGAACAATGAATGTCTTGACCACGAGCTGCTGGGCCGATGAAGATTTTATAGGAGTTGTGAGCCAAACATCACGAAGTTGCAGTAGAGGTATGACTGGTTTGGCCCTATCGTTTTCCACCCTGCAAAAATGCTTGGGCAGATACAAAATCCAATTTGCAAAGCTCAACTGAGAAAAAAAAGGCTAAGGGCATGGCTCCTCAGCATCTCGGTGATGGCATAGTTCATCACAGGTGTGTTTGCATCAGCAGGTGCACGGGTGGCCTACTATGGGTTGGTGGTTCCTGTCTGGGGTAATCACTACAACCTCGACCTATTTTCCCAAAGATCGCCTTGTTTTTATTTTATGACTTCAACTCGCTGCGTTTTTGCTTGAAACGACTCATTACCTTAAACGCCTAGAATTTTCCATGCAATGGAAGCTCCAGGTTAACTAAAGTTGAAAATCCCATTTATATACGCTTAAGTTTTGAGTAGCTGTTCTCAACCCAGTGCCCTATTTTTCTTGGACAAGCCCGAATAGGTTGTCAAGTGCAGGTGAAACCTTTGAGGATGCTAGCAAACCTTTTCATCCTACCTATGAACCCAGCAAACCCTGCGAGCCCACAGGTTCCGCCACAAATGCAGCGATGTTTGGAGGGGATGACTGTGGGATATATGTCCAAAATTGTCCAAAACCACAGGAGTTTCAGACCACTGAAAAAACCGGGGTCTGTCTTCACCGCCCAAACAACAAAATCTTGGGTCATTTGCGAATGGACAACGGAAACCCATCTGCCTTTCATGGGAAATTTTAGATGCCTGGCATGTGTTTTGCAGCGAATATATCATCTTTAGGCCATAGCAAAAAATCAAAATCGTCGACTTTCCTCATTTCGTGATGGTCCCTATTGATATTCCACCATTAAACCAGGGGTACAACGAATCATTTGGATTTCGCCCCAAAAAAAACGTTACCCTGAGCGCTGCCTTGACACTTCCATGCCTCGCATGGCGCCAAGGTATTGGGGGGCAGTGGTCAACGGGACAAAACATGGCTGTTTGTCACCGAGGTTGGTAAACATCACTGGATTACCTGGGGTTCAATTTCATGGACATGGGGGTGGTCTGAAAATTTGGGTTGTCTGAAAATTCAGGGGGAAACACTGGAAACACCCAAAATCCATTGCTTTGATCATCATGTTTCCGACGAAAATTGCTATTTTGTATACCCTTTTTACACATCCATGTCTACACAAAAGAATGGATGAACGCGAACCAACAAAAGATAACTTGGGGTCCTTTCCTGATGGTCTCACAGCGGTTAACCGCTGGTAAAACTACTGGACGTTCAATGGCGACTGATAAACCAAGAAAAGGATAGCTCCAGGTCGTGTATCATTTTTACATAAATAGTGTTTCTATGCGTTTCTTTGATTTGTTTTCAACTAACCCTCTGGTAAACGTTTACACAACTATGGAAAATCACCATTTTCAATGGGTAAATCCACTATAAATGGCCATGTTCAATAGCTATGTTAAATTACCAGAGGGTACTGATTGCTCAGCAGCGCAGTATGTTTCTGCTGATCTTTGGGCGCGAAGCTTCGCTTTCAATGGTTCGGGGATGGGCAAAATCCAAGCGAATGCTGGACAGATATCATGAAAGTAAACCTCTAAGTGGCTTCTCCCATCTACAAACGGATGAACTGTGGTCATTGACCCTATGAAATGGGATAACTATGCTGGTTGGTGGTATACCCTCTGAAAAATGATGGACTTCGTCAGTTGGGATGATTTTCCATTCCCAACTGTTTCTGGAAAGTCATTCAAAATTCATTAAAATTCCATGGTTCCAGTCACCACCAACCAGATTAAATCTCCATTTTTCTTGGTTAAATCACCATTTTCCTATGGTTTTCCCATGGTTTTCCTATGGATAACCCATAAAAAATTCAGGACACCTCCAGCCACAGGTTTTCGCTCCACCCGCTCCACCTTGAAAGGAAGACAGCGCGCTGCAGCGAAACCCCCAAGGTGGATTGGACGCACATGGACTCCTGTGGGATATTCTAAGCATGGCGGTTTTAAATGAGCACCATCCTGTTGTGGTTTATGACTACCATGGTTTATGAATAATCATCTAGTTTATGAATAGCAACATGACGCTATGGTTTCACCTGGAGATTTCAGAAGTGATATTCATGGGAATTTTTGACGGGATTAATACCCTCTGGTTATGACATGTTATGACTAACAGTTCGCCATGGACAATCACCATTTTGAATAGGTAAATCAACTATACATGGCCATTTTCCATGGCTATATTAAATAACCAGAGGGTATATGTATGTATATATATATATAATCATACCTTGATGGCGAATGTTGATTCCCGTCTAAGTTAGATGAACTATGAGTGGGTGATATTGTAAATCCATCTACCACCAAGAATCTATGTATGTGGCGATAATCCGTCCAGCAACTAACGCAGTCGAAGTATGGGTTTGTTCCATGTCTCCAGAGTTGTTGATTCAAGACCTTCCGTTGTATAGTCAATGACCCTGAGATTAAAACGAAATGGGTTGTTGGCCAGACATCCTTTTTTTTTACTGGTTAACCGTCTCTCTTCACCAGTTGTTTTGTCTAGTTTAATCATCTCAAATCCCAACAAAAGACATTTTTCGTTCATGTCTCTTTTCCTACGCTGAAACATTCCAATTTTGCTGTCTTGTTTCTTACCAGTTCTCGTTGTTCCTACATGTTTTCCTATCTTCTGAACACCAGTTCGTTTATTCCTACGTTTTGATCATTCCAGTTTTCCCCAGTCATACCCTCTGGCAATCAAACGTGGCTGAAAAGTCCATCATCGAACCAAATGGGGGGGATAAACCAACAAACCAACACTTTGACAGTGAGTTTTCCCATTAATAGCATGGTGGATCTTTCCATCGTTTTTGTAAACGTTTACCAGGCCGGGTAAGGTAAACCCAGTCATAACCCAAGTGCCCCATCCGGTGTAAACGCCCCGGTATCTCCGACACCCCGGCCGTGTCTAGGTCTCCTCCAGGGCATGCCGGCCACCCGTGCAAAAGCCGCCGCAGGGATGGTAAGCCTGGGGAGAAAACTAAGACGCCCCAAGGGGCCTTGGGGCCTTGGTCCCCACTCCATGCTCAATCTTTGATAGTCCTCCAGAAAACTATCTTTTGCAAAGATTGGTTATCCAAGAAAATTTCTTGTGGACTATTATGATAACCAATCTCTGTGATGTTCCTGGATTTTTTGGAACATAAAAGTGGACTATCTTTTCTTAGTTGTTGTTATGTTCCATAGCAAAACACTCCTCAGGATCCAACCCATCCAAATCATCCAAGCTTGGGGATGACGACGAAGTTTTGGATGACGACTGACTATTTCAGACGTGGAGGGCGCCAAGCACCAATGATTGGTTTTTCATGGTGATTCCCATTGGAAAACCATAGGAAAACCATAGGAAAATGGTGATTTAATGGTGATTAATCCATAAGTACCCGGCCTGGTAAACTAACAGTTTGCTATTGAAAATTGCCCAGTCGAAATAGTGGATAAATACCAATTTTCATTAAAAATTGTGATTTTCCAGTTCGCTATTTCTGTAAACGTTTACCAGGCCGGGTATGTCAAAATATGCCAATGTAAACATTGACATTTTCTGTTTCATCATGGGGATGGACAAGGACAACATACGGTTTTCATGATCATCATAAATTTGGTGGCTTTTAAAAGGTGTGCGTTTTAATTATTGTGATGTTAAAAACAGGGATAGACATGGATATGCTGGCTGCTGGAATATTTTTTTTGGATCAATATATGGTTTTATGATACAATATGACAATGAATACAAACATGAAGATATTCTATCTTTGACAATGGGATATAAGAAAGTGACGACAATAAGTATATCGTTGCTTTGTATTGTGATAATGGGCAATATAGACAGACGACAAACATGGGGTCAAATGGGTATAGATAATGAAATATGATCTGGTTGGTAGTTTCAACCCCTCTGAAAAATATTAGTCAAATGGGATTATATAGTGTTCCCAATATATGGAAAAATAGAATTCATGTTCCAAACCACCAACCAGTGATGGTATAATGCGTATGTTCTGATGAAATGATAATCTAGTATAATCTAGTATCTCCACTGTTGCTGAATTATCCCCCTAGTTCACTAATTTGGGGGGGATACCAATTATTTGGGGAAACCCCCCATATCAATAAACTGGTGAGTTTATTACTCCGGGGTTAACATTATTTTGCATGAAATCCCATGATTCTAATATTCCATTGATGTTCCATTGATATCCCGCTGTAATCCCACTAAGATTCCCAATAAATTACCAAAATAGTTAACTTCCATTAAGTAGTGGATTTTGATATTTTCCTATTAAAATTCCATTATAATCCCATAAAATCATAATCCCAATAAAATCCCCTTATGATCTCCCAAAATTCCAATACGTTCCTATATGTTCCCCTTATTTTCCCAGAAAATCCCAAGAATTTCCCCACCTTCTGCCAAGGCACAGAAGCTGCCCCCAGCACCGCCACCTTCGCTCGCCCGTTGACCACACTGAGCGCCGCGTCCAGCGCGGTGCCATGGCGGCTCAGCGTCACGCGTGGCGCCGCAGAGGAGGCGAACCAGCCGCGGCTCTGGGACAGCTGACGCGACACCTGCCGCGGTGTTTTTTGTGGGAAAAACATGGGAAAACCCACAAAAAATGGTCAGTTGCCCATGGAAAAACATGGGAAAACCTATGAAAAATGATGAGATAGTTTCCATGACATCATGATAAAAAATGGTGGGTTCGTGTGATTAACGATGTCTTCAAGGATTTGCCAGAGTCTTCATGTATCTTTCCCGTTTGGCTGGGATAAATTTGGGAGTTCCACGTTTTGGCGAATTTTCAGGCGTTAAGGTTGGAGTTCAAATCCCTATACGTTCCCGTTATGGTTGGCATATCCCAATAATCACATTATGTAATCCCGTTATATTCACGCCCAACATTGGACACCCGGCAAACTAACTATATGTCTCGTTTGTTGGGAAATATCCCAAATTTACAGCAACAAAAATATAGAAATTGGACAAAAGTCCCCATCCAAGTTTGACCCAAATGAATCTCATTAATGTCAACCCCGGATTTTCCTAAACCATGGTTTATGAAAATTAGGGGGATACTCCTCCAATAGTCATTTCATCCAATACTTTTTTTATGGTACCCCCCCAATTAAACAGCCGTAAATGGGGTTTATTAATCCAGGGTTGACATTAATCCCATCCAATTTGTCCCGGGATTTGCTTGATGGCCACCTTTGACAATGAAAAAAACACTTGAAACCTCCATGGTCACCATGTCATAAGCTTGGATTTGGATGCCTCAAATATATATATATATAGACACACATACACGTGTATTATATATATACACACACATACACGTGTGTATATATATATTTTTAAAAAAAAACTACTATAACTATATACATAATTATATTATATTATATATATGTAGAGGTAGAGGTGTCCAAACCATGTGGGTACCCCAAATCATCCATTTGAATGGAACTTTCCATGAAACCATCCAGCCATTGGGAAAATCAGGTGGCGCCTCTTCCAGGGTCACTATCTGCGTGCCTGGCAGGGCCTTGGTAACTTAGAATATATGTGCTGGCATCTTAATATATCTATAACTAGAACTATAACTATGCTGGTTGATGGTATACCTACCCCTCTGAAAAATATGATGGACTTCGTCAGTTGGTATTATGAAATTCCCAATTAATATGGAAAGTCATAAAATTCCATGGTTCCAGTCAGCACCAACCACTATGGGATCTTGACATATCTTAACCACATAAATAACCACCATTTTTGGGGGGACTTTTGGGAGACTTCTTCCAAATCCTCACATTCCGGTGCCGGGATCACCCAAATCTCCACGGATTTCTCTTTGGTGTCGCCATGTTTACTGCGTTTACCTATTGGGATTCCTATGAAACACTGTAAAGAATGGGATGATCAGGGGATTATATAAACAATTTTGCCCATCACCGGTGCAGGAGTTGGCAACCATCCAGTACCACGTCTTTGTAACATTGAAAATTGATTAAAATGGCACTTGGCCACTCTTGACTGGGTGAAATTTATCATGTTTTCCTGTGCTCTTCACTTGAGGGTCATCATCACCCCCCTTGCTGTGGTAATGACATCCTTTTTTAACTGAAACCACCAACCAGCTCATCAAATCATTATATAATCATCCATGTGATAATCGAATCTAGATCAATTGCCATAGTTCACCAACCTGAAAAATCGAAATTTCTCTCGAATATCACCAGATTACTATATTTTACTATATTACCTATCACTATCCATTTATACTTATATATAACTATACGTACTATTACCCTCTGGTAAACTAACGTAGCTATGGAAAATGACCATTTATAGTTGGTTTACCCATTAATAGCATGGTGATGTTCTATAGTTATGTTACTGTAAATTACCAGAGGGTAACAGTTGAATTATGCATTCTAATTGTCACTAATAGGTGTGTTCGTGTGACAAAAAAAGGTTGGTTTAAAGTTCCCATGAGTGTTACTAGATTATAGATAAATCTATAGCTAGATTATGTTCCCATTAGTGTTACTAATCAGATACATATATATATATTACATATCATCAACCCTATAGTTTTTCTAGTTATAGACTATATATATATATCCATATATTTATATATAGCTATACTATTATACATAGATCAATAATTCTATTTCGGGCTAACCCTAACCCATCACCATCATCCACTGGGCCACGCAGTCGCCGTGACCTTGGAGTAAGGCATCGATGTGGCGCAAGGGAACCACCGCCTCGGCCAACTGGTAGCCGTTGCCACGACACGCCTCGCAGTGGACCAACCCAAAATGGGGGTCCAACGTGTGGGTTTCACCGGCAAAATGCTGGGTAGATCTATAGTTGGACGATGTTGGATGATGTTGGATGGGTTTTTTGGTTGACCAATTGGCATAATTAATTGGTTTGAAACTTTGAAAAGCCACATAACTCAGAATGTTATTTCGGATGTTTCCAGAAAAGTTGGCTATACAACTAATTTAGTTGATTTTAGAACCCCATGAAGAATCCATCAAGAACTGCTTTTGAAGATCACCCCACGAATCATAACTGGCTACTAAATGGTGTCAGTTCAGCCACTTATAAATGGGAGAACCCACGAAATGAGTAACTACTTAAGGTGGCTCATCCCAGTAAGTGGCTTATAACCCAAGTTACCCTCTGGTAAACTAATATAGCCATGGAAAATGGCCATTGAGTTATATAGTTGATTTACCTATTCAAAATGGTGATTTGCCATAGTTTTTGGTATGTTTACCAGAGGGTATAAGTGAGTTGATCATTTCCAATCAGCCAGATACCCTGCAAAAAAAATGACAACTGCTTAGCTGGTTAGATGTTAGTAGATCATCCCATACCAAAAGGCTATTCAGGATTAGTTTCTACCCATCCAGTCGATTTAGACCTAGTGATTAGGGCCACAGAGTCCACAAAACAAAACTGTGGATACTCACCCTCTGGTAATTTAACATAACCATAGAAAATCATAGAAAATCACCATTGTTAATAGGTAAACCATCTATTTCTATGGGCCATAATCCATGGCTATGTTAGTTTACCAGAGGGTACACGTCCACCCACCTTCAACGTCAAGGCGGCCGTCCCAGCACGAAGCATGCGGTCCTGCACATTGGGGTGACCAGCAGCAAAAAAAACACTGGGGCTTCGTGGCTTCACCAAAAACTCGGGAAAAAAACACTGATTTCTCCGAGAAAAAAACACGGATTTCTCCTGGAAAAGCCGTGGTTGATCCAACAAACATGGTCTTTTGTTGGTGGTTGCTGCAAACCCCTCTGAAAAATATGGGTCAGTTGGGATGATGACATTCCCAACTGAATGGAAAGTCATAAAATTCCATGGTTCTAAACCACCAACCAGGTAAGGAGCTTTACATTTCTTTACAATACCATTTGTGCCCTGGCTTCGGATTGGAGCTGTTCCATTTCTGGGTTAGGGGAATCCCATGTGATCCGATCCTCGAAGGCTTTTACCATCTCAATGTGTTGCCAAAGATGTCAGTAACCATCTTGCAACAACCCAGTTGCATCTGCAATATCCCAACTCCTATTATAGTTGCGAAAGGAATTGTACAGCCATTGAGGTGCAGGCATCACATTGACATGAGTAGAGGCAGCCTTGACTAGTGGCTGCGCTCGCTCGCGTGGGTATGTCGAAAACGTTGGTACCCAGAATCAAGATTGCCATCACTTGGGCTAAAACCCCCGAATGATCTTCCCATTATACCCCTGTATTTTGCTGGGTGTCCCCAGGAAGCGCAGTTCTGATATATTTTTCCACATAGCTACAGGGGCTTCCCAATTTGTGGGGTTGATATGGGTTGACAACCTTGGTAGCAATTTGTAGCTTCAACTGCCCACAAAACCAGTCCAGGGACCCCTTTCGCCCCCCCGAACCCTCTCCTCAGGCCCATTCGCAAGTCGAATCCAATCGAAACTGTCCTGCCTAGCATCTGAGCGGAATCCGCGACATGATGGCTATGCCGGCTATGGGTTACTTGGACGTGCTCTGAGGTCGGAAACTGTAAGAAAATTCCGAAAAGTCGATTTGGAATTGGTGACAGATTCTTCAAATCGCTGCCCAATCTGTATTGATCAAGCTGCCCTCATGATCCAAGCAGGTCTGTTTGTCGCGCATCGCGATTGGCACGGGGTGCCCGAAAGCAAGGGTTCTGAATTTCAGAGCCACGCAAGGCATGAGACCATACTAAGAAGCAAATGTCCTGTTTTAAACAGTTGTGAAACGTTGTGAATCTCGTGAGATGTTAATAGATTCTCACCGAGTGGGACGCATACTCACCCAGAAATTTGCTCACATCTCGCATCTCGTAGGGGTATCCCATCTTGTCAAGGTAGGCCACTTCTCCTTTCTGTGAGCCTCCAAGGCCTATGCCATCCCAGAGCTGAGCCTTCGGCAGGTCTTCCCAGTCAACTCGGCCCTGTGCAACTTGTCCAGGGAAGAAGTACACGATGAGTTTCTGTTTTCTGCTAACAGCAGTTTCCACATTCTTACGCCACTTTTGGAACCAGGCACAGCCCCACTTGGGACGGCCGCCGTTTCGGTCACACTCTTCTTTGTTCTTGTATCCAAAACTCTGAAAGTTTCTGGGTGGACACAGGCCGTAAATGTCCTTACAATAGCACTTCTGACAATCATCTTCAGGCGCGTGATCTCCGAGTCCATCGTCTTTGTCACATAGAAACACGCACGCCACGCTCATGTCGTGCGAGCCTTCCACACATTCATGCCATCCCGCCGGATAGCGACCCGGGAATGACACAATGCACTCAACGCCCTCGCGGTCCTTAATGAGCCCATGGTAGGAGATTTTTGTGGAGGACAGCAAGGCAGATCCTGAAGTGAAACCTGCTCTCGCAAGATCAATTTTCGTCCCATCCGCGAGTTCAATGAAACATAGAGGCGGGTATTGCGCTTCGATATGCGCGTCCGGGCCGGGATGCAAGACCAGAGGCCACTGGTCGCTGCGGCGAACACACTTCACTTGCGAAGTCCTCATACCTTCAAATTCACATCTGAACGTTTCATCTGTACCGTCGCTATAATATTTCATAACCTCTGTGTAGCTAGGACGGTACTGAACCGATCCATTCTTTTGAATCCTGTATTCCGCCGAGATTATTGTGGAGAAACTTCCCCCTTCAGGACGGTGATATTCCTCTCCCTGGGACGACTTGCCGCCATAAGTCCCCACCAGACAAGGTGAGAAGTCCCTGGGCTTAATGGCTTTCTCAACCTCTTCTGGCCCAATAAAGGCGGCGATCGTCTTCAGATTCATCTGACCGTCAATGTTCACCGGCTTGCCCATGGCTTTCCACTCGTATCGTTCTATATTCTCCTGGGGGTTTACTGTAAGCATACCAAGGCCACTAGCACAACATTCCAGGAGATAAGTGTTGCCTTTGGCGGTGATGATCAGGTAATGCTCCCGGAAAAACTTGTCAGACCAGTACAAGCCACACGCTGGAGCCTTGATGAATCTCAGGAGATCCCTGATGCGGATTTTGGGTTCTTGGCCATAAGCTTCCAGCACAGCCCGGGCGTCGGACAGGCCACCGACATCCTCAAGGATTTTCACGCAGCTTTCACGGTCAAACAAGTCGTCCTCACCTAAGGTGGACTGGACGATGCTTTCGACCTGCTGCCAAGGATCTGACGCCTCTATTTTGGAAGCCATGTTACCCTCTGGTAATTTAACAGTTTGCTATTGAAAATTGCCTTTTGTAGTGGATTTACCCATTAAAAATGGTGATTTTCCATAGTTACGTTAGTTTACCAGAGGGTAAGTCGGTTGAGTGCTTGAACCCAATTCAAAACAATGCCAATGCCAATGCCCAACGAATATTTGCAGAACCTCATCGCAGCCGCATCGGGCCCCAGTTTGTTAGCTAGCTTGGCTTAGAAAATCTTACAACCATATTAATGTGGGCAAAACAATGTCATAAAGCACCATGACTGAGAATGGTTTATAGCACCTATAAAAATGGTGATGACTGGGGGATGGTTTATGGCATTGTTTTACCCACATTATTAGTTGGAATAATGGCCATTATGGGATATTGTATGGAATATGAACTGAAATATTCATTGGAAAATGGTTTGTTATACTCAGTTAAATATCCTGTTCTTTTGCTTCACTCCAGCCTGCGAGGTAGCAGAGCTCCAGCCGCCACTACAGGCACTGTTACGGCCCCGTCCGCCTCAAAGACGACAACTCAGAGACCGTCGTTGCACATTTTTTGGAACATGGGATATGTTCATTGATTCATGGGGAAATATTGGTTCTTTAAGATAAAATATCTCAATATTCCCTCCATTAACCCTAAAAATATGATCCTCATACTGTGAATGGTTGCAAAATCCTGCACCAGTTGACAGCGACTTTGTCCCATTCTTCATATTCAATCATCCCAGGTGGTGCACAGGATTTCGCAACCGTCCACGGGATCAATTGGTAAATGGAGAAATACTGGGATATATTTGTTTAACGGATGTTTGGGATAAATTGGGTCAATTTTCTTTCTCAGCATGTTGATTCATGGCAAATCTCTACAGGATAGTGCAGTAGATTGTATACACCTCCATTTCAAGCATTATAGACAACAAAAAACTTAACCATCTGGTTATTTAACATAGCCATAAACTATAATTAGTTAGTTATAGCCCATTATATATATATATGCATATATATACAACAAAAAATCTAGCCATCAACCTTCGTTGCACCTTGCCATTTACCAAGTGTTCTGGTTCAACCTGCCTTCAGCTGTGCGCTTCACCTCCGCTCATCTCCGTCACGGGTTTGCAGCCATGCTGGCACCCATTTATGTAAATATACATGTGTACATATGTATAAATAATAATAATGATGATGATAACAATAAATAATAATAATAATAATTAATAATAATAATAAATATAATTATATCATATATACATTTATATATATTATATATTAATATATTCCCAGCTCAGCAGAAAAATATGACGGTCTCATCCCTGGCGGCTCGCCTCGTAGTCCGGATCTCCGGGGTGGGATTCCTCCACGAAGTGCACGGGGTTCGCACGCTGGCAGCCGTCGCCGTAGCGGCAGCCTGGCTCCGTTTAGGCACCGGAAAAAACGTTAAAAAAAGGCCGGGAAAAGGCGTCGAAAACGGTGGGTGAATGAAGGTTAATGTATGAAAATGTATGAAATGTATACGTGAATGTAGGAAAAATAGACTGAAACATTGGAAAAGACGTCTGAAATGGGGCTGACATATATCTGATATAGTCTCAATGTGGTTGAAACGTCCCAAAACTCCGATGATTTACGCACCGATTTAGCGTGGAATTGGTTTACTATTGCCGTCCCCGATGATCAATGGCCATTCCAGGAACCTAAATTGGAGGTACCTACCATATATAAGGCCTATTTTTTAGGCCTATGTAAGGGAATATCCCCAGAAAATATGGCCCAAAAATATGGTACGTTTACGTACCTCCAGTTTAGGATCCTTTTTGATTCCCATTGAGATGATCACTATTTTCAGGGAACGACCCAATCATTCATCAACCATGGTCGACCATCACTCCGGGCTGACATTATTTCAATCACCCTCTGGCAACCAGCTCCATGGCTTGCTGGAAAAGCCCCCAGCCATACATTGATGATGTCCCAGCTAGAAACCTCCATTTTTTGTAGTACCCTCTGGTAAACTGACACAACTATGGAAAAACTATGGAAAACTATTGAAAATCACCATGTTTACTGGGTAAATCACCATTTTTAGTGACTTTTTTGTCTGTAAACTATGGAAAGATCCACCACTTTTAAGAGGTAAATCAACTATTTCGACTGGGCCATGTTCCAGTTCGCAAAACTGTAACAGTTGTAACAGTTTCCCAGGCCGGGTATATCATATCCAATTGTATCCCCATTCTTTGTTTGTTACAAACCAATTGTTGGGAGGCCCATCGGCCCATCCAACTGTTGGTTGGCTATACATCCCATAAAATATCCCCATTCATATCCCGTAAAAATCACCATGTTTTATGGCTAAGTAATGCGAAGTCCATCTTACCAGACATAAACATATCAACAGGATCCGATTCACCGGAGGTACCTGCCATATATAAGGCCTATTTTTTAGGCCTAATTTCAGGGAATATCCCCAGAAAATATAGCCTTATGGTACTAACGTACCTCCATTTCAGGATCCTGAAATTCCCATTGAACATACCCTCTCCCCAAGTTAACATATGTAGACACTGCCACTTCTTGGGGGTTTGGAAGATCAGTTTCCACCAAATAAACACTACAATAGGCTGTCTGGAAATAGGTTTTTCCATATTCATTGGTGTATCATCATGTTCCCCTATTAAAATTGCTTTTTCGGGGTATACAATTTGTTTCAGACCCAAATTTTGGTATACCAAGTTCTGGTTGGTTTAACCGTTTAACCTCCTCCAAAATGTTCAGGCTCCAACTGTTGTATTTTTGGGCAGGCTAAATGGTGCTATGAAAACAGATCAAAACTGGTACCCGCATGGACCCCGATATTTTCGCTGGTGAATGGATCCAAAAATTCCCCAAATCCAACTGGGGACATCCAAAACCGACGTCCGAGGTCCCCGGCAACTTCTCTTCAAAGCTTTCTCGCTATAGGTCAGCGCCTCCTCACCGAGTTCGGATCATGGCGTTGATGGAAAATCTACCAAGAACTCCCTGACTTCACCGTTAAATATAGGGGGAATAAGGGGAATATATCAAGCTTAGGTTTCTTAAGTCATGGGATCCTGAGTCGTCACCATGGTTGTCTCACCCCGAAAATGCCATTACTTAGGCTCAGAGCTTGGCCTCAATACCTGCAAGTTCCGACAGTGCCTACGAGTTCTAAGGAGTCCTGCTATAAAAATAATTGTTGATTGGCTATGTGGCCTGGTTGCCCTTAGCTGCCCAAAGAAAGAAACATATATTTTTATCGTATGTTGTTTGAGGTATATGAAATATGTTTCCATTCTCGGCCTCGATTTGCAAAGTTTAGAGGCAAGACACAACCGTGCACCTGCCTTTCACCAGGTAAACCAAAATGGATTTGCCAATGATTCATATAACTATATTGCCATACCTTCATATGTCTGGAGGCTAACATGATAAACATCCAGGTGTCACCTCGGACTTACCATATTTGGCAAGGACAGATCCATGGTCTTTACCCATGGACAACACAGAAATGTTCTCCCCCGGTCTCCGTGAGATATTGGCTGGCCGCCCTGGGCGGCGCTTCTAAGTACCGCCCAGCCTAAGAACTCACCCGGCGAGTTCTACGTCAAAAAGGCTGGGCCCAAGTTAACATCAACCAGGTCATTATTATAGTCAGTACCCTCTGGTAAACTAACAGTTTGCTATTGAAAATGGCCATATATAGTTGATTTACCCTTTACCCATTAAAAATGGTGATTTTCCATAGTTATGTTAGTTTACCAGAGGGTAACAGTTGAATTATTCATTCTAATTGTCACTAATTAGTGTATTCGTGTGACAAAAAAATGTTGATTAACAGTTCCCATTAGTGTTACTAAGTGGCTTTATTATGGTTTATTGACTGTGACCATATTCACTTGGATGATATTCCAATACTAAGAGTAGCGATTATGGTCATGTTTCAATATGCCGCAATGGTTAAGAGAGGTACTCCAATTTTCAGAAACACCCATTTAATCAATGGGAATTTCAGGCTCCTAAATTGGAGGTACGTTAGTACCATATTTCTGGCCATATTTTCTGGGGATATTCCCTGAAATTTAGGCCATTGATTTAAGGAGTGTTTATGACACAACCCTATTTTTTAAACCATGAACTGACCAGTTTTTCTGTGGAAAATCTTCGGAACCTTTGAAGATGGTTGGTGAAGATGTTGGAGAAGCCGAAGCCAGCTGGCAAAGCTAGGAATCTACAGCTTCAGTCAACTTCAATCAAGGCCTATCCAAATACCCGGCCTGGTAAACATACAAAAAGCGATGGTTAAAATGGATGAACAATGGAAAATGGCCCATTTACTTCGATGATTTACCTATAAAAATTGTGAGTTTCCAGTTCGCAAACTGTTAACCAGAGGCTATCCTGCAACAAACTTCACCGACTTAGGGTGCAAATCCCAGCCCCTGGGCCCCTGGTGCAAAAATCACACGGGGTACCAATTGGTGGTTTTAACCAACTTGAAAAATATGAAAGTCACTTGGGATGATTATTCCCAATATATATATATATATATATAGTAGATATAGATCATATTAGATTGTAGATATGTATATGTTATCTATGTCTGGCTGGTGGTTGACCAACCTACCCCTCTGAAAATTTCGTCACTTGGGATTATCTATGAGGTTATCCCATCTATGGAATATAACTATGACTGGTTGGTGGTTTCAACCTACCCCTCTGAAAAATGATGGAGTGAAAGTCAGTTGGGAGTATGAAATTCCCAATTGAATGGAAAGTCATAAAAAATGTTCCGAACCACCAATTAGACAGTATTTCATACTGAGAATGTCCGAAAAAAAACTGTCCGCCCAAATGTGATGGTTTATCACAAAGTTCCCTTTTGGGGCTATACCCCAGTTTCAGACACACCCAAATTGGACAATAGTTGGTTCTATGTCCTGTTTTATCCCCATTATCCGAATCATTATCCCACGAATATCCCATGAAATTCCCACTTTTTTTGAGGTTGAACAAACCATGTCCAAGTAGACCCAGGTTGAAACACCATGAACAAACTGAAAAACATCGTTGGACCCCGGCCACCGCCCCAAGGGGCCCCCTACGCTGTCCTTTTCTCGTGGACCCTTGGCGGGGTTGGTTTCCCGGGCTTTTTGGTGTGGTCCCCATGGTAGGTTTGCCCATGGTAAGTTTATGGCATTGGCTTCCCACATTGATCATATTAATTCAACTTGAATTCTCAATGATAATCATGGTCAATCTTTTATAGTCCAAAAAAAAGAAAACGTCATCTTTTGCTGGTCTGTTGGTTTTCCGTATATAAAAACTACCCATCCAAGGTTGCCAAGCTTGGGGATGAGATGTGGTTTCTAAAGTGCTTAATGTGATTTGTCACCCAATGTCATCATTCATCCTGAAAATCACCATGGTGGTATTCAAAACATCCCCAGTGTAGGTTTATGGCATGGGCTTTGCTGAGTAAATGGCTTTTGTCCCCTGAAAAAAGCTGGGGTCTATTGGGATATACCCCACCAAGCCACTTCGCTAAGTCTGGCAACATCCAATTAAGTGGGTTACCCTCTGGTAAACGTTTACATAACTTTGGAAAATCACCATTTTCAATGGGAAAATCCACTATAAATGGTGATTTTCCATAGTTATTTTGACATAACCAGAGGGTTAGACGGTCAGAACGTAGAAACCTGGTGAAACACCATGTTTCACTTGTCGTTCAAAAAGTCGATTTCTCAGGACTGGTCGGGTTTGGATGTCGATGGAACCGTTCTGTACGATGATCCGTTACCAACGGGTCGATGGAAAATCCCTATTGGACCATAGAGCCATAGATGGGGGGCCCCCAGTTTCCCCCAGTGATAGGTTGGTTTATGTGACCATCTACAGTAACGATGTATCCACCAGAAATAGCTGCAGAAACTTACTGGACTTGACAGATTTCATCCCCTACTGAACGTTCGCGGCATGCAGCCGAGAGTGAGTGGAGCAATCCAATCAAGCGCTGTAACGGGGCCTCGTTTGCGCGCGGTTTTCACGCGCGCTGCAAATTTTCACAACTAGAGGTCTGGTCACAGTGCCACATGATCAGCATATAAATTTCCGAACTGGCGTCCATCTCGGATGTTTTCCCTAGTTATCTCTAGTTACTAGTTCACTTGAACTGTCAGGAATTTTGAGTTGTTCTCAAGATATTCCAAGCCACTAAAGTCGACTGGATAATCCAAGATAAGATATGCTTAATCCAAGAAATCATCCTGCTTCATGGCCTCTTGGCCACCTGATGTGTCTGTGTGTGTGTGCGCCTGGTCGGACAACTACAATTTGTTAGGCCCGGCAGTTTGTGTTTGTTGGTTGTTTAACCCAATTTCAATATAGATATGTTCGCTGTAAAATCCGAGTTATATATATATATATTGATAGTTACTGCATTTGTTGTAACATGTTATACACCAACTTCATTCTATCTTGGGGGCCCAATGTCACACCTCACCTTTGATCTGTCAGCTGTGCTGTCAAACCTTCGCCATGTTGACAGGTACCACCTTTCTTGGCCCACCCCAAACAACATTTGATCGTTGCCAAACAACCGGGAATGATGTAATCGTCATCACCGGTGGTTGGTGACATTTAAGGCGTTGGTCATTTTTTAAGGCCCAACCTGGAGTGCAGCCCATCAGGTCGGACGTGCTGTCCGGATTCGTAAGTGCTTAATAATCCATTGAAATATAAGCTATATATATATATATCATATAATTCATATATAACTGGGAATTGTCATAGATCTTCCACCTACATGAGAAATCCCGTCGAGTGACGCAGCAATTTTCACTCACTTGGGCACCCATGGCGCTCGGTCAAGACTTCAGAAATCGTCAAATCAACGGATGGGCCATCCCAAAAAAACTTGAAACGATTGAAACAGTGGGAGCCAGTGGGAAGGAAATCCATGCGTAGCCCCAACAAATCTAAAGAAGAGCACAAACTCTCCCTTTTCATCCTTTTCTGTGGGGCAAAAGGCACCCTTCCAATCAAACTAGAACCCAAAACTGGCTGTGTCAACTAGTGTCTGCAACTCGCATGGTTCACATGGCTGTGAAAATCTGAATCACAAAATGGATCAAATGCTGGAAGAATGCTCAGTTTCTCCATATGGCAACATGTGTTCACCGGAGTACAATTCACTGGTAGGCCTTGGCTCAAACTTTTCTCTGAACTTGGAGCCAATTGGCGATCATCGCCACCAAAATCCACCAAAAACCCATGGGGAGTTGATTATGTTGATATGAGTTGATTGCACTTCATTTCACCAATAAGACTTCGATAAACTGGCTAAGCTGGCTAAACTTGGATTCCTGAAAAAAAACATACCATCTGGTTATGACTAACATAGCCATGGAAAATCACCATGCTATTAATAGGTAAACCCATGTAAACCATCTATAAATGGGCCATTTTCCATGGCTATGTTTAATAACCAGAGGGTACTATACAGTATCATACAGTCCTGGCAAAAGCAATTAGTTCATTGTCCCATTGATCGCACACAACAACAATATATGGGTATGGGTCAATACCTATAGATACATTTTGAGTGGGTTATTCACATCCATTTTAACCCAGCTATGACTTGGGGTGAACAAAAGGTACCAGGGTGCCATGACCCATCCCCATATACCCACCTATCATTCGCCACGATTGACCAATGATTTCCCGCAGTATCCTGCCAGTATCCACTTCTGGTAGCATCAGATTCTAAGGGTGCCCCTGAGGAAATCCGAATGTTCAATGGCTTGAAAAAAAAAAGGTGTAAATCATTGTTTATCCTCGAACATTAAAAAAAAAAACTGCAAAGTTTCCCTTCACCCAGTCTGCCCCATTTCGTGAATTTTCGCATGCCAAACCCGCGCCCCAATTCCGCTCTTTTTGGCTCAAATCACTTGACCACACCAGCTGATGTGCATCGCTACCACATGTTCCACAAATCTTTCGTGGAACATGCGACAGCAACAACAATCAAACAACAGTAGCAGCCGCGAATCTTTGCGAATTCCGAATTTCCGGCATCGCGCCGGAGGCCAAACACTTCTCCACAAAAGGCCTCTTTGGCATCTGGCCGAATTTCAGGCTGGAACTGCAGGAAGAAATGGTGGTGTCACTGCTGACAATCCATCCTCAAGGGATGTGGACCCACAACCCTTGCTCCACGACAGTTCCAGGAAATGCATTTTCAGCTTTCAAATGGAAACCTAAAATCAAATCGGTGGGCAAATCCAACCGACACTTGGCTACAGCTCAAATATGTCAAAATGGAATCCTCGACATTGACATTTTTCCGTGTTTAACCATGCAAATTTCATCAGGTTCTTTCATCAGTTTGAGCCATAGCCACGTAAACAATCGTTACCTCGCGTCAGGTCGCTATCGAAGACCTATCGCGGAGATGGATGAAGAAATGAGTGGAGAAATGACTGGTACATGGTAACAACCCCAGATTATAACCCTCCTTTGGATTATATATTTATATTGAGGTTTGGACGGTTTGGACATTGTATTTTAATTCTGGATTGTAGAAAAATATTATGGATTGTAAAAACCAGTTATGGATTGAACACCCCTTATGAAAATTTGGACAGATTTCCAAGAACCTTGGACATTTGGAAGTAAAGTCTCCACTAGAAAGAAAATACAATGATATATTGGTGAGTTACTATACCTGTTTATAATTGACTTACCAATACATTTGATGGTTCAAACCCTTGTATGCTATTGTTCAAAGCCCTAATTTCTGATGCTTAAATCATTTACATAAATCCTTCCTCATCCCAGTTTATCAACATATCCCATTGATATCCTGGTTGGTGGTTGACCGAGCCCTCTGAAAAATATGAGTTCGTCAGTTGGGGTTACTATTCCCAACTGAATGGAAAAAAAAAAACTTCTAAACCACCAACCTGTATCCCAGTATCCATTATTTATTTCTTCAATCCCACATTTTGTTGGCTTCCATCATCCCCCACCAGCTCTACAAATCTCTTGGCTGGTGAACCACCATCGAGTCGAAAGGGTCATGGCGAACTGGACCCAGTCGAAAATTGATGGCTACCCTGATCCCAAATCCACGGGTGAATCATCATGCTCCATATTACCCGGCCTGGTAAACATACAAAAAGCGAACTTGAAAATGCCCAGTCGAAATAGTGGATTTACCCATTGAAAAAGCATGGTGATTTTCCATAGTGACGTTAGTTTACCAGAGGGTAAAACTTGGATTTGCTACCTTGGAAGCCCAAAGAATCAAGAATATTCCCGATGATGATTCAATATCAAACAATCAAGACTATTCCCTATGATGATTCAGTAGTGGATGTTCCATTTAGAAAATAAAAAATCATCTGCAGCAAATCCAAGTGTTCATAGCCAGAATTGGGGACATACTAAACATGTTCAGAGATCCCAAAATTGGAATTATACAGTTGGTTAATGTTGGTTATATCACCATTCATGTCCCCATGTTTTTCATCCCATCAAATCGTTGGTTATCCCATTATTCTTGATGGTTAAATCATGTGCAAAAATCCCATTAAAATCACATTGCAATCCCATTTAAATCACAAATCCCACAATTATATATGATAATCCCACAAGGTGGTGCCTCCTAGATAGCTAAGTTGGTTTATAAGTCCAATAACTATGGTTTATAGGTGATATAACTATAAAGTTAGTGGGGTTTATAAACCAATTTATAACTAGGGGGCACCACATTGCATGATAATCCCATGATAATCCCATGATAGCCCCATTCAATCCATGTCTCTCCTGACAACCCCAGTTGGAATGGAATATCCCCACTTATCTATGGGATAAAATATGGGTTGTATATGGATTATATATACCACGGGTCCGATTCGTGCCCGCAAAAAAAAGTAGGCTTAATATTTCGATGAGTCATGGGATAATCATAGTAATGCAAAAAATAGTACCCTCTGGTAAACTAACCGTTTGCTATTGAAAATGGCCATAGAAATAGTGAGTTTTCCCATTAAAAATGGGTGGATTTTTCATAGTTATGTAAACGTTTACCAGAGGGTATTATGATGCTTCCCACTGGGTTAGAGTCTACCTTGCTTCTTCGTGGGTCAATCATCATTGAATCACCATGTTCCTAAGCCTTTCCCATAGAGTTTTTCCCCATGAAATCCAGGTTTTTTCCCATGTTCCAATGGTTTTCCTAGGGATTTCCTATGGTTTTCTGGTTTTCCTAGGGATTTCCTGTGGATTTCCTAGGGATTTCCCATGGCCCCGCACCTTCAGTTCCTGCTTCGCCTCTCCAACGCCAGGGTCTCGGCTAATCTCCTGACCTGGCGGGAAGTCCTGGAGTAGGGGAAACAACGAGAAAACCATGGGATTGATATCTAGGTAGGTAGATAGATAGGTAGATAGATAGATAGGTAGGTAGGTAGGTAGATAGGTAGGTAGGTAGGTAGGTAGATATATAGATATATAGATGGATTTAAGAATAATGATTGTTGAGATATGGAAAAATGATGAAAAATGTGACTGAAAATGTTGACAAATGGGATTGACAGGGGACATAAAACACCAAAATAGTCTTGAAACATGCAGATCTAAGCCAGAAAAACGACATCTTAGCGGAGATTCGCCTTCAGGATTCCATAATTTTGGGTGGTCACCGGCTTGGTTTTGTTGGCAAAAAATCGGAAAGCCACGGAGTTCGCATCCCTCGAAGCTGAGTCATGGGGGCAACCAGCTATTGGGGATCCCCCATGAAAATGGAAAACCCCATTGAAATCCCTATGAAAATGCATTGATAATTGATAACCATCCAATCTGGGCACCTGGTCCTTGGCGTGCTGCTCCTCCTCCTTCGCCTCCCGCGCTCTTTCTTGATATTCCTGGAGCTCCGAAAATGGGGAAACACGGGATACTCAACTAGGTCCTAGGTGCTTCTCTGGTTGAAAAATGTTGATGTTCTCGAATCTTTGAAAATGGCTTCCGAAAAATCTCCGGAAGCATGGGTTTTCTCAACCAGTGGATGTTGATTTTGGGCTAGACTGGCTGGACCTGAAACTCTCCCCAACAGCCAGCCATTTTTATAGTTCTCCAGATCCAAGTTTTGTGGAAGATCATCCACCAAAGGATTCATTTCTAGGGAAATCACTCTATTTCTCAGGAAATTTTCATGGCTCACCAAAATCCAAGAAGAATCTCGATGTCAACGTTGCTCCGTTACTCTAAATTTCATCAACCCCAAAGCACAGGTGTTTCATGTTTTTTCTCTAGAATCACCAACGAAATCCCCAAAAATCCCAGCAAAATCCAGCCATTTTGGCCACGTGGCGTTTCCACGACACCACGGGCGGTCCTTGAGGCACTCGCCCATGGTATGCTGGCAGCTTTCCAACGACAGTACGCGCTGCTTCAAGCCAGCCGCCTGGAGGTTTTCAGCCATGGCTTGGGACTCAATAGGGATTTCATGGGCTTTTTGCATGGATTGTACAATGGGATGATAAATAAATATAAATAATACTAGAAGTGTGATGGGATAAGAATGGGAATTAGTTTGGAACTGTCATTAACAGTTCGATATATATATATATATACGTATGATATATCTATCATAAACCCTACGGTGAAATTGGATCTATGACGAGTTATGCTCGCCAACATCGTTAACGAACTGGGGCACCACTTGGATTTGCTTACCAAAAAAAAGTCGTTCTTATAGATTCCCCAAGTAATGGATTTCCTCGTGGGCAAATAAAAAAGAAATTTACTCAGCAAATCCAAAGAAATGTTGGGTGACAATCCCATTCATCTTCCATTATCCCACGAATATTCCATTAATTATCCACTAACCCATGAAAAAATCCCATTGAAAATCTCCATTGCTCTTGGATGTTCCTATATGGTTTTCCCATTAAATCAGTACATAGTCGATATATTTGAACAAGAATCCAAGCCATTGAGTGTTTGATATTCCCAACAAAAAAAAAAACGCAAATCCTCCATCGCTAGTGGATGGAGTCCTATATTTTCCCATTATAATCCCATTATAATCCCAGTATAATCCTATTGTAAATCCCATTAACTTCCATGTTTTTTCATGTTGTTTCCTCCATTTATTCATGGCCAATCTTAGCTAACCTGCAAAAAATGACAAATTCTGAGCTGGTGAACATAGATCATCCCATACCAAAAGACTATTCAGGATTAGTTTCTACCCATCCAAGATTGACCAGCGAAATAACCAGACCTTCTATAAATGGATTATAGCTATAGGCTATATATAGGTTTTCCTATGGTGTTCCTATGGTTTTCCTATGGTTTTCCTATGGTTTTCCTATGGTTTTCCTATGGTTTTCCTATGGTGTTCCTATGGTTTTCCTATGGTTTTCCTATGGTTAAGGGACCCATCATTTCTTCCGGAGCTCCGCATCCGCCTCGGCAGCTTCTTCACCGAGCAGCTGCAAACGCTTCAGCTGCTCCTCGAGAAACTCCCGAGGTCTGGGGCCCCAGTTTTTGAAGACGAAATCCCCATGGAAAATCCAATGGAGCAGTTGATAAATGATGGTTGATGGGATTGGAAAATCCATAGGAAAACCATAGGAAAATGGTGATTTATAATGGTGATTTAATGGTGATTAATGGTGATTAATGATGGTGATACCCTCTGGTAATTTAACATAGCGAACTGGAAAGATCCACCATGCTAGTAATGGGAAAATCCACTATAAATCACCATTTTCAATAGCTACATTAAATTACCAGAGGGTAAATGATGGTTGATGATGGTTGAATTTTTTTTGATGGTTGATATTTGTTTGATGATTTTTGAATATGTTTGATGATTACACTACAAAAAACTATGGAACATCAGAATCTTTAATGGGTAAATCAACTTTTTATATGGCCATTTTCAATAGCTGCGTTAGTTTGCCAGAGGGTAGATGAACATCACAAAATCCTAAGACTAGTCTTAGAAAATCTATAGAACAACAATGGGAAATCATGAAAATCATCTATGTTCCCGTGATCTTACACACTTGTAAACTCTGGAAAAACTTTTCCGGGTCGGCAAAGAGATCCCCTATGAAAATTTTAAAAATGAAACCATGAAAAACAATCCTGCATCGTTTTTATCCCTCTTTTTCATCGTGAACTCCCCATATGGGTCTGTCTGAAAATATCGTTTCTCCAGTAATTTGATGCTTCATCATGGTTTTCCCCACGAATATTGCCATAAATTCAAGGCAAAAATCATCCATTCACAGATCCATGTAAACCAAATTCTTGGTGATGATTAAATCCACGTAACATGAAATCCCGTGAACTCCCATGAAATCCCATAAATCCACCATCTGCTCGTGGTCGAAAACCCTCCGCTGAAAAACAACAGCCCACGGCGACCCATCCTGAGCCCCGGCCCCCGTGCCTCCTGGACACGCCGAGCCTCTGTGAGCCCCACCTGGGATCAGGAAGCCCCAGGCGTTTCGGGGAGACCATGGGATTGCCGGGGCCCGCGGGCCCGCGCCTCAAGCTGCTGGTTTCTTGCTCGCTCCGCTGCAAGCTGCTCCTGGAGATTTTGGGGGCCGGTCTAGCCCGATGTTCTCCGATTTCAGAAATATACTCTCTGGTTATGTCAAAATAGCTATTGAAAATGGCCATTTATAGTGGATTTTCCCATTAAAAATGGTGATGTTCCATAGCTATGTTAAATTACCAGAGGGTACCACATCATGGCAGTCCCTGATATTTAGCCTCTGGTACTCTAAAGATAGCTATGGAAAATGAATGCAAATGACCTATGAAAGTAGATGATTTTCCTATGACCCATGGCCATTTTCCATTTTTCCAAACTGGAACAGTTCACCAGAGGGTAGAAAATTTCTGAGTTTCTCTTCAAAAAAATCTGGACTGATGTGGCTCCCCTATCCTTCATCCCGTCAAGTTCTGGGATCCCAACTGGAAAAAAAACCAACAAAATTCTGCCACAAAAATGGTGTTGCTATTTCAAGCAACACAAGAAAGAAAAAGGGGTAACGGTGGACTCTTTGCTATGTAAAAACGACTGGTCTGTTTCTTGTCTAACATTGCGAACCAGTGCTTCGCAAGTAGTTCTTCGCCCCTCCAACTCATTCACTGTATCCGAAAATAGAGTCTGTAACATTCTATAATTGTGTTTGTCTGAAAATGGTGTACTCAAAAAAATCCAGTGCTATCATCACTTTGCCATTTTTAAATTGCCATTTAGTGGGGAATACAGCATTTACAAAACCCCATCGATAAGTGCTTAAAGTAACGGAACAACAGGTGCTACTCGCAGCATGTTTCGCCATTTCGCCAGGTTATGTTGAGCGGAACTTCCAACATCAAACGCTGGTGAAAAACCCAGCAATTTCAGCGTCATTTCCAGAGAGATGGCTAAATCGTCCATATGTTTCCGCAAAACAGTTTTATGGATTTGCTAATTGTTAAAGGGATCCAAACATTGAAAAAAAAAACATCTTCCCAAAAAAGATTCCCCTAATGGTGGATGTTCATGGATTTTTCCCATGTGTTTCACATCAAACAATCCATCTTCAACAACCAGTCATGGTCCAATTTGTCCCAGTTTGAACATTGAAAATCCATCTGAAACAAACCCAACCAGTGACCAACTTCAGTTCCAGTTCCAGTCGTCTCTTTTTCCGCACCTTGAGGCCCTTCGTCTGCACGCGTAGCTCCAACAAGCGCTCGCGGACCACCTGACAGAGACCGTAGAACAGAAAATCACGTTGACCAAATTCATCAACCAAAAAAGAACTTATCGGGTAAATATTAGTTGATGGATTTTTGGGGGAAATTGTCATGGAAAATTAATCCATGAATTCGATATCACTGGTTGGTGGTTGACCTACCCCTCTGAAAAATGATGGAGTTCGTCAATGGGTTTCGGATGACGTCCCATATATGATGGAAAATAATCCATTCATGTTTGAAACCACCAACTAGTTATTTATTGGGGGGTTGTCTCAGTTGTCGAGTCGATAAACCCTCAACCATCATCCTATGGCGATGCCGGGGCACCTCCTTCTCCTTCTGATCCCTTTCCTTTTGTTCCTCCACGCACTTCACCGCACCTGCAATCAGGGGGGACACCAATTTCATGCTCCAACCTGCCAACCTGCCTAGTTGGCAAGGCAGGGAATCTGATGTTTCTTTGAAATAAAATTGCCAGCCTTTCTTCCCAGGTCGTGCTATAACTAGTGTCACCCACCGAAGTTTGGAGCAACCCTACCTAAAAATACCTAAAGTACCTAAGTCATGTCAAGAAACAGCAAGAAACAACAAGGACTACTGTAATCGGGGTTTAATGGGATATCATGGAAATATAGATTTCCGATATTTTAGACTGATTTAGCCACAAATTCTAAGAATCTATACTGGTTGGTGGTATACCTACCCCTCTGAAAAATATGAGTTCGTCAGTTGGGGTTATTATTCCCAATATATGGAAAAATAAAAAATGCTATTTGCATGTTCTCTGCATCTCCGAGAGTATGACGCAGAAAATCCACAGCAATTCAGGGCTGGGCACGCGTCATTTCATCGCTCATCTTGATGACCTGCCAGCAGTTTCAACTGGGACTTCGGGACCAACAAAAAAGCTAAGTTGATACGCATAGGTGAAACTAAATCAATGGGAATTTCAGGATCCTAAATTGGAGGTACCTACCATATATAAGGCCTATGTAAGGCCTATGTAAGGGAATATCCCAGCAAAATATGGCCTTATATGGTACAGTACCTCCATTTTAGGATCCTGGAATTCCCATTGACTAAACTAACTTTATTACAACTCAGGGGATCCCTGCACAAAATGACAGGTTCTTAGCTGGTGACTAGATAAAATCCCATACCAAAAGACTATTCAGGATGAGTTTCTACCCAGCCGATTGACCTTTAGGTACTAATTTTGCTTTCACAAAACTGGTTGAGCATGTCATCATGTTCTCCATCAGGGCCATCGTTGGGGCAATGCCTGGTTGATCATAATGTTCCCTACAATTTCCATGTGGCATCTATGGGCAAAGCCGAATTTTTATGGTCAAAACATGTGAAATATGATCATCAAACATCCATCTGCCATCAAAATCTGGTTGGTGGTTTGAACCCCTCTGAAAAATATTAGTCAGTTGGATGATTATTCCCAATATATGGAAAGTCATAAAAAATGTTCCAAACCACCAACCAGAAATCCTCTTTAAAAAAATCCATCTTCAGGGAGTCATCACAAACTCCGTCCATGGAAAAAGGATCGTCCCCGTCTCAAATCCAAGATACTTGGTTGAATCCCAGCTAGAAACCTCCACTGATCGTGGAATTTCTAATGATTCTAATGATGTTCCTATGAGTTGGTAAATGAACAGTTCGACCCTGGCAGTCATCAGGGTTGGAAGATTAGTTTCTACTAAAAATGGCCTATGTTCACAGGATGGTGCCCCCCAGTTGTGTTTGTTGGCTTATAAACCCCATTATATAACTATAGTTATATCTACCATAAACCATGGAATTCAGACATCTTGAGTACTCTACACAAAAAAAATAGGTTCTTTGCTGGTGAACGTCGATAATCCCATACCAAAAGACTATTCAGGATTAGTTTGTACCCATCCAGTTGGTTAACCCACTTGATTAACTCCATGTTTGGTGGTTAAATCACAATTTTCCTATGGTTTTCCTATGGTTTTCCTATGGTTTGCCTATGGTTCCAGTTGGTTAACCTAAAATCCAACCCCTCCAACGTTCCAGCGTTTCCAACCTCCGTTTCCAGGCGCTTCACTTCGTGCCCACTCTTCTCCAACTCGGCCTGCAGGCGATTTGGACAACGGTGAAAGCAGCAACAATTTAGGGATCTATAATCTATCTATATATATATATATCATTATATATATTTAGGGATCATGGGGTAAATTAAACCAACTTACATATAACTGGGAGATTATCATATATATCCCTGGATTATCCTAAGTATATATCCTAAGTATTCATATATATCTATATGTATCTGGGTAAATTAGAAAATATTTCACTGACCATTTTTCATAGTTCGGCCATCATTTCGGGGATGATTTCCCACATAAAAACCATATATATATATCTATGGGGGCGACTGTTTTGGAGGTCCACACCTCCTTTTGGATGTCCCATCAATTGAAGACTAAAGGATTACTGGTTGGTGGTATACCTACCCCTCTGAAAAATATGAGTTCGTCAGTTGGGATTATGAAATCCAAATGAATGGGAAAAAAAATGTTCCAAACCACCAACTAGTATATATATAATATATGGGGTCTTCTTGAAATGGTGGTACCCCAATAGCTGGATGGTTTATAATGGAAAATCCTACTAAAATGAATGATTTGGGGGGTACCCTCATTTCAAGAAACCTCCATATATGTGATTTGTGATGGTAAAACAGTTGAACCTCCTGACTCCTGATTTTTCGATATTTTTCGTTACATAGTTGAAGCATGTTGATTTTTTGGGCTTCTGTTAGAGTTCATAATTACACCCCAAAAAACAACCACTGTTTATGGATTTATGGCATGGATTAACTGAACTTAGTTGCCTTCTTGTAGGTTTGTATCTCGGTGACTAACCATTTCGCGACTTCGCGACTGGACCATTTCTTGCCGTCCTTGGGAAACATCCGCACCGTGTGTAGCAACTAAAAAAAATAGATGAAAACTATATATGGACACTGTTCAAAAAGAATAAACAACTTGGACACCTTTAGATTTTGTTTACACCTCATCAGTTTTGGTTAACATGATCTCCAACATTTCGATTTTCCACGAAATCCACACCTCTAAATGAGACATCTTCTCCTTCTCTTCGCGTCGTACCGCCTAGTCAACAACGGTTACGTCGATGCAAGGCTGTCCCTCATCCTTTTAAAGAAAAACGGGTGGGTTGAGAATGGGGTTGCAAGCAGAAGGCTAGATCATGGGTCAGTTTATAATCCCATTTATTGATTTTCGAACCGTATAACTTAGTATAAGCTCCGAGAATAACTCATCAAGAAGGATTTTGGTGACTTCTCGAATATGTGTGCCACCACAAAATGCTTCGAAAACTGGAATATAATAAACCGCAGAAAGCCTGAAAACCACCCAAAATTACCGATGTTTTGAAGAAATGGATCAGTCCCCTTTTGAGTCCAATATGCTCCACAACAGAAATCGAGGTGTGGAGTGTTTGTTTTCTGGTGATGAGTTTTGTTGGGTTTCGGAGGTTGAAAACCCCACAACTAGCCCTTTGTTGGTTTCAGATCTCTGTCGCTGGTGCAACTTGCCACATCCATCAGTTGTCTGGAAAATAGAGTTATGGCCATGCGGCCATGAAGTACCCTCTGGTAAACGTTTACATAACTATGGAAAATAACCATTCTTAATGGGAAAATCCACTATAAATGGCCATTTTCAATAGCAAACTGTTTGTTTACCAGAGGGTAATAGGGAAAATGATTCTTGACCAGTGGATTTAAGGATGCCCTACTTTCAGACATCCTATTAAAACTGTTGGTTCAAGAACCAGCCGGTTCAAAAACCAACCTAAAACGCTACTTCGTGGTTCATCCTACCAATCGGAAGAGGCTTATCTACCTGGTTATAATTTGGGTGAGCGCTCAGTTGGAATCTTTTTTGAATCCTTTCTTGGTATCCTTTTGATATCTCCATTATATCCCCATCACTGTGGGTGAATCAATAATAAGCCACCCATTTGGGAACAGTTTATACCACGTACTTATGGTGATTTGGGGGATGGTTTGTTATTGTTTTACCCCCATTCCCACAAATTGTGCTCCAAACATTTGGAAGGCGCCAAAAAGCTACCCCAATTTATTGGGCCTCCACCATCTGCTGAGCTTTTCTCGCCTCCTAGATCACGGCAATTCACGAAGCAACAAAAGCCACAAAACCAACCAAGTACCCTCTGGTAATTTAACATAGCCATGGAAAATGGCCATTTATAGTGGATTTTCCCACTAAAAATTGTGATTTTCCATAGTTATGTTAGTTTACCAGAGGGTATGTGGCCAAGAGACATGGGATATCCTACCAACTTGATAGGATTTCCAATGGATTGTGATTGATAATCCCCAATTTTTCTGGGGGCAGGAGAACCCCCCAATAATAATCATCAGGCAGGCATTGCCTAAACACTGCCCATCGCCAAATCGGGACTTCTCTAAATAGGGTATCCCAAAACCATCTTAGCTTCGATACTTAAACTTAAATGGTCGAATTTCGGATGATTTGGGAGTACCCCCATTTTAGGACACCAGCATTTTTGGAGATGGCTCACCACTTTGAAACCTGTCACTGAATGGCTCACAGATCTCACTCCTGCTGCTTGAATTTCTGGCTGTGTTCCTTCAGCATCGCCGTTGCCTGGAGATCGACATGTTTTTCAGTGGTCAAAATTGGACGATCAAAACTCTGTGAAACTGGTTTTCTGTAGATGTTTTTCAATCATCCAATTTGGGGTTGATCAAATTTATGGTTTACCTCTGCATATATACGTTTTTCAATCATCCAATTTGGGGTTTATCAATTTTTATCAAACTTGCCCTCCAGCAATCAAGCGTGGCTAGCTGGAAAAGCCCCCTGCAAATGAAGGTTTTTAATCGGAAAGTCATCTATAGATGGCGGGTTTTAGATTGCCATATTGAGGTTTCCTGAAATAGGGATACCCCCAAATCATCCATTTCATGCTCGGCTTTTCCGTTCTAAACCATCCAGCGAGCTTGGGTCACCCCCATGACTTTGGAAACCTCCACATTGGATTGTCAGAGGGTGATGTTTTCATCGTGCAGTCCTGAACGTAACATCACTGTTTTAGAGGCCAATATGCGCAATATTTCAAGGGGAGCAAAAACTGTCATCTGGGCACAATTCTCAAATCAGAAATAAGGCCAGTTGGGGTGATGTTATATATATATATTATATATTGTATTTGTTTTGCCATCACTTGCGGAGCTGTAAAAGTTCTTGTCACCCCCAGCTGACATGAAGTTTTCTTTGCTCTTGCGTGTCCTCACACCATCACTGTCAAGGTCACCTTCAATGATACTCAGCTGTGCTAAGCGATGAAGCTCGATTTGAACCCACCATTCGTAGCAGCAAGCAGCAGCCCCTAGATGACTCCACCAGAGACGCCCAAACCGCTGGGACTGCTGGGCATGTTCAATGGCAAAAAAATCTCGCGACCTTGTCATAGTAAGCCCTCTCGACCTTGTTCTTGGCTTTGCCGTTTGTCAGCTAGTGAGATTGTTTTATAACAAAACATTTTCCTGGCATTTTTATACATTGTTGGGTGTTCGAAATCCACGATTTTGATGACTTCGAAAGGTGAAATCACAACTCATTCCTATGTTTTCTGGCAAACGTGGCAATGGAAAATCCACTATATCCACTATATCCACTATATCCACTATATCCACTATTCATATATCTGGGTAAATTATAGTAGTTCACGAACCTGAATAGTTCGGCCAGCTATGGGGATGATTTCCCTATACATTCACCCTGATTCCAGGTTTCGGGAGAACAGGCTTCGGTCGTGATCAAATTTACCCGGATATATGATGTTCCCATGAAAACTTCCATTATGGGATTCTCCAGCCATGTTTGATGACCAAAGGGGAGATCATCATTAGTCATTGGACTCCATGATCTTCCATTACCATTAAAAAAACAGTATCACTATGGTATAAACTATTTATATCCCAGCATATCCGATTTTCCGATCTATATAACCAAAGAAAATATCCTCCTAAAAGCAAAAAAAACTCCGTACATAAACTTACATATGCTTGTCTCCAAACACCTTGACTAATATGATACTAGAATCAGTATCTATTCATATCCTACGATTATCCCATGATTATCCCAAGATTTTCCCTATCAAACCATATGGGTATCAAAATTGAGTATCCCAAAAAAGTAGATGGTGAATATTAAACATACATACATACATACATACATATATATATATATATAAATAAACATCTGCTAAAATCTGTGGTCCCATAGGGCTTCAACTTCAGGCTTCTTAAATCCTCCAGGATGCCATTTGTGGCATGAAATTTCAATATTATGATTGACTTACCTATGATCATACCTATAAGTATCTATCATAATATCATCAGTATATCATATTTCCTATATCTGGTATATGATAATGATACCTGAATCATATATCTTATTGATATACCATCTGGTTATTTAACATAGCCATGGAAAATCCCCATTTTTAATAGGTAAACCGTCTATAAATGGGCCATTTTCCATGGCTATGTTAAATAACCAGAGGGTATATATATATACCTATACTTATGTTTTGTTTACCCATCCCCGGTCGCTTCCCACCTGCTGAAACTCCAACATGCGTCGCTCCTGCGACTCCTGAGCCTCCGCCACCTGGGAGCGAGGCATCAGCAACAAACCAACATCATGGGGATTCAAATGGATATACATATATATATATATATACACATGAATCACGATGTGTATATATATATAACTATATATATATATACAACAATGTATGTATAATATATAACAATGTATGTGTGTATATATATATAACTATACATGTATAATTATATATTGTATAGATGTAGCACCATTTTTTGGGGGTGGGATTAATGTCAACCCAGGATTTTGCGAAACCTCCAGTTTATTTCCAAGGCCTGAATGTGTGTTATTCCAGGCGTTGGTTTTACTCCCCCAGTTCTTGATCTATGGAGGTTTCCTAAAATGGGGTACCCCTAAATCATCCATTTTGTGCTCGCATTTTCCATTGCAAACCATCCATTTCGGGGATCACCCATTTATGGAAACCCCCATATGGGTTCTGAACCACTTGCGATTCCTGGGACATCCAAAAGGAGGTTTTTTACCTCCAAAACAGTCGCCCGCAAACCAGCTGAGAAAAATGGGGGTGTTGAAGGGACCAAAGATGTGGCCGTTTTTTCGGAAGATCCCCACGTCAAAAGGTGTATCACCGATTTCCCCATGCAGTTGCCGTAGGTTGGGGCTATTTCGATGTTGCCGCACATAGCGATTCGTGCTTAGCAGGTGGGTTACAGCTTCAACCTGGGATGTAGCAAGGGATTGAAAAAACCGTGATCCCGAGCACAGAAAGAGCTCTTTCTAGCTCCGGAGAAGTCATCTAAAAATGATGCCTAGCTGTGTCAAAAACACATTCAACTTTTTGAGGATATGAGAGAGGAAAGAGATGGATGGATTAGAGTCTGTTAATTCGATTAGAAATAGATAGTTAGATACCGAGATGCCCTTCTTCCATTTTTTCCAAACATCAACCATCAAGCCATCAATCAACTGATTGTTCTTTTTCCGGAAAATCTACAGGAAACCATGGCTTGCAAACCACCAGTTGCAGTTGATCCTTCCTGTGAAAATTTCCAATCCTGGGAATCACTCCCCCTAATCAAACAGAGTTCACCAAGTGAACTGTGCGTTAACGTGTGGTCAAGTAAATCCCATTCATTCCCATTAAAATGCCATTTCAATCCATTAGAATTCCATTAACATCGCATTAAAATCCAATGCAACCCCATTAACTTCCATTTTAAAACCCAGCCCCACCCCGAAGCAAATGCGCCTGCTGTCGTGTTCCAATGAGTTCTTCCTCCAAGCCCTTCATCTTCACAGTGGCCACAGACAGCTCCTGAAAAATGGCCCCGGTTTCTTTGGCCTCGGTGGCGCCTGACTAAGCCAACAAAAACATGCCGTTCGAAAAAACGAAAAGGAACCCAAGTGGTTTTTTAATTCGGCGTTCTAAAACAGTAAAATTACATTGTTCACTATTGAACCAACAAAA